AAAGATGTCTGGCTTGTCAGATCAAGTCCTACAGCCTCTATACCTCTTTCCTCTGCTTTCTGACTTGCTGCCTCCCACCTTTCTCCTCCCGTTTGCCCCATCTGCCCGTTTCTGATTTAGGCAAGAAGTAGGATGTGCTGTGACTGATTTAGAGCATGTGCTGATTTGCCAGCTGGCTGCTATCTCTGAGCTGTTGGCTCAGCCAAACAGAATAGATAAGGTCTGAGCTATCCTTGCCTCTTTCCAGTAATGTTTCACCTCTACTCATTTGCAGTGGTGTTTTCCCCACGAGATTTGCAAAATCGCAAGTGTACTTAAGGTCATTATACCTCCCCTCTGCTTTTGAACTGGAAAGCCAGAGTAAAAACTGATCTGAGGTATTACTGAAATAGCACTAGTAGCTATGGCTGAACAAAGTCTATTGTGCTTGAATATATAAATTACTGGAGATTCTATTCTTTAAAAAAAAAATGGAGTAATAGTGGTGTTGGACATATGCTGATGGTCTCAGCTGGGAATTGCTCCGGTTTTATCCTGCATTTAAATTGTGCATGAGATCTGTGAAACCACTAACATTTTTATCTGAAAGTAAAAGAAGCTTGTACAGAAGCAAGCTTGAACAGAAGTGGTTACTCAGGGTTGCATGTCTTCATTCACCCTTGAAATAGTGTGTATATTCACTTGGCTGCAACAAATACCGTAGTAATAATTGTAGGCTGTTGTTTTAGAGTATTGTCCTTCCCTTTTTTTAATTTTAGAAATTCTAGATACATTAGATTCCCACTACTTCTGTTTGGCATTGAAAAAAAGATAAAAGGGGGGAGCTGGCAAAGGAAAGTCCTGTCAGTCTGGATTCAAGTGAAAATATGTAGCTGAAAACATCTTAGAAACATCCTTCAGTAACTAAGTGATAAGTTTTTCCCTTCCTGGCCTGGACATTTCTGCTGCATTTGAGATGGATGTGAATTCTTGGCTGTCAGCTGAGGAGTGATAACAAGTCCTGCCTGCACCTCTGGAATGACAGCATCCATGGGGAAGCTGCTTTGAGAGTCCTGCAGCAATCATTTCACTGTGTGCTCCTTTTCACTCTCTTCCTTGCAGCCACTGGTTTGACATGGGTTCTGGTGTTAGCAGATCGCAGGCGACACAGCCACACACAGTCTTTAGAACTACTTGTGATTCTTTACTACTTATTACGATTACAAGTTGTCAATATTAGGATCCTCTAGAATTTTTTTGCTAATGCCAGCCTTGACCATAGGAAATGTTCTTTGCATACATCGCTGTCATCCTGTTTTGTTGTAGGAGATGCTTCCCTGCTCTGTAGGTGATGCTCTTCCTTGGTATTCTCCTTTTCATCACCTCTGACATGGACCGTAGCAATGCACCATACTTGGGCATGGAGCCTCCTCTAAACACCCAGCACTTACAGCGTGTGCTTGTAAGGCTGCTGTGGGTGCTGTATCCCCATCTCTCTTCATTTCCCACAGGATTTTGAATCAGGCTGAAAATCTTTTCATGGGTTTCTGGGCCCAGCTATCTCAGCGCTCAGCTGCAGCGTTAATGGGTTCGTATTACTGTGTAATGCAGTGTGCACCCGTAATGCTTTCCTTAGGGAAACATTTGTCCGATTGATTCTCTCGGTCCAGATTACACAGAACAAGCTACAGCTCTAGATAGCTGTGCTGTATCCTCAATGCTGTACGCTGGGTTTCTTAGATGTAGGGCTTCCGTTTGCCCGTGTTTGGATGAAGGGGGCTGTAAGACATGGCTTAGTGTGTTAGTGAGGCTCTTTAGAAAATGAGATACTTAATTTAAGATCTTCAGTCTGAACTAAGCTTGGTGATTTACATGGCCTGGCATAATCCATCCTCTTAGAGCTGTGTATGTGATAGACTTCTGATATTGTATCCTTATTGCTGCTTAAATCCAAATACTCTATAATACATCCAGTATGGAGGGCTGGAGAGATCAGCTGCCTTGTCACAATATAATCCTGCCTTGGGACCGGGCTGGGGAATATGAGCACAACTGCTTGCTGAATTAAGAGCAGCGTCATGTCTCTGAGTGCTAAACTCAAAACTCCGAATCCACGCTTGCTATTCTTTTTATTTCACAACGAGAATGATCTTCCTGTAGGTATAGGAATAAGCCTGCCTTGTAAGCAGGAGCGCCCCTAAAAGCTACTTTGCAGTTTCCAGTGAAGTCCTTCAGCAAAATGCTCCACTAGCATCTCGGAGCACAGAGAGCCAACAAAATGTTCTTGCATCTCTCTTAGAGTAATCCAGACTCCGGTGTCTTTTGTGTCTGGATCAAAGCCCTGGTGAAGGAGATTCACTAAGTGCTCCTCTGTATCTACAGCCCACCCAGGAGCAACAGAGATAGTTGAGAGCCTGCACCAAGGACCTTGGGAGAGCTTTCGTTCAAACGTAGCCGGATGGCAGGGGGAAAAGCGATCGTGGTGTTATTGGTGACTTGACTGACCCTGCGACATGGCTGTCAGGGGTAACCTCGACTTAAATCATCATCCTGCATAGTGGTCACCCCGAGTGCCGCTCTCCAAAGTCGCTGTTGTTCCTGTTATGTCAAACAGATTTGCGTAGTAGATCCAAGCCTGAGTAAAAAGAGGTGATGGATTTGTTTAATAATTACTTTTGAGAGACAGTGCTGAAAAATTACTATTTTTAAAGTTACTTCTCAACCCATATAAGCAGCAAGAATTCTGAGAGTAATCGTATATGGCTCCCGTGTCTTTCTCCTGCTCTGTTCAGAAGAAATCAGTGATGCTTGTCACCAGGCTTTGCTTGTTACTGATGTCAAGAGCTTCCTAATCTCATTTGGAAGGTCCAGGACAAGCAAAATATTGGTTCCTTGTTGTGTGTTTGCTGCATTTCTCCCATCTTCTGTATGTGGGAAGACTGCGTAACCTGCTGCCGGGGCATGGACAGATGCTGTGCTGTTATTTTAAAGGTCACTCCAGTAATTTTGTATTATTGTTTAAAAAAATCACAAACACTCCTCCCCCCAGCCAAAAAAAAACCCCAAAACCAAACAAAAAACCCAACTGAATAAAAAAACCAGAACCAAAAAAGAAAAAAAAACCCCACCAAACCCAAACAACCAACCAAACTTTTAAATTATGCACATAACAGATTAAAGGAATTGCTATTCTCTGCTCATTATTTAGGGAGACAAATGTTTGCTCTGCTGTCCCAGCAACTGTGAGAGAACTAAGTTGGGCAATTCCAAGGGCTGGACTCTGAAGTTTCCCCTTTCATAGCTCTCCTGAGGTTCCTGTTCAAATGGTTTTGGAAATTTTTACGTTGCTTGAATACGTTGTTTTTAAGAGGCAGCGACACCCACAAAACTAGAGACAGAGGTGGCACAATAAAAACCCAGCTGGGAGAGAATTAGGTAGAGATGATGGCAGCATGAGAAAAATCAGTGGCTTTGAATTTAAAATCAACTTATTCAGAGCAGCACCTCAAATCTTACTCTTGAAAAGAGATAAACATTGGTTTATAAAATTACTTGGGATCTGTAAGCAAGGGGAGATCTGAGGAGACAAATGAACTTTTCCAATACAGGATTCCAATGACCAGGTTTTAATGACAGAGTGATTAAGCTAAAATCACTCCACTAACGGTCTTTTTTTTTTCTTTTGTCTTTCTTTTTTCTTACCCCAACCCTATACCAAATCCTTTCTGCTCCTGATGCTTCGGGGAACAGTAGGACCCAACCAAAGGTAAGGGCTTTTACTGCATGTTAAATCAGTGTGTGAAAAATTGTTGTACCACTTATTCAGTTGTGGGTTTTCCAAATATTAAAAGCATTTTGAAAAACAGCTCTGTAGTTGATCAGCTGTTGAGTAAGAAACTCCAAGCATCTCCTTGCTGCAGAAGAGCACTGCATAGCCTGTGCCAGAAAATGAGTCACAGGAACAAATGAGAACATCCCTACTCAGCATTACGGGCTGTGAATGGAAGACTACTTGATGGTTGTGGGCTTTTAAAAGCGTTTTCTGGTATTTGTGTTAAAGCAACCTCATTTTGTTGTTGTGGCTTATGATCCCATGACTATTTGGTATGCAGATAGCTGTTGGTATCCTAGAATTTCAGGGTTCAGCTTTATTGATGTGGTTGTATAGCCAATGATGTTTCATTAAATGCTCTGAGGGCATGGGATATTATAATAGTGTGCTTAATTGTGTAATAGATTCGAAGAACCAAAAAACCTTAGTCTTAAATAAACAGGCTGTTGTTTCCTCAATTAGAGGATGTAAAATAACTACTTTTATCTCTTCATGCTGGGAAAAAAAAAAAG